TCCCAAGAGATGATTGGAATTTGTTTATTATAATGTCTAGCCGGCCCTGCCCCCCACTTTGATATACAGCAGTGCTATAGCTGCATAATACTATCTGTGCTGGAGTTCTACCTCTTATAATGCATGAAAAGCAGCAGTGTACAAAGGTGGTGACATCAAAGGTTGCATAACCAGCACAAAGATTAGTTTAACAATTAACCACAGGCTCCACATTTAGAAACTCAAAACATCCACTCTGTCGTATTGATTCAAATGAAAGTGCAGATAGATGTTGCAAGGAGATTAATGTATTTTAAATGTCATAAAACAACAATGATACTAAAACGCTAAAATACTCTTAGCCTTTTCTATGCCATCTATTGGGGAAATGTAAGCATTGCAGGGAAAAGGCCGAAGTATAATGATAATATGAATTAAAATGGTGGCGCTTTGGCCCAGAGGCAATGTCTTTGTCATTGGTGTGGAACCCCAGGATTCACCACCTCCTGACAGAACTGGACATATTTTAGATAGAAATTTAGTTTGTGTGACTGACCATATTGGTTTGGGATATAAAAAAAATACATTTGTGTTCCACAAGGTGTCAGTATAAAAGATGAGCCCACATAGTCCATTGTATTTGCTGATGTGTATTTATTTATATGCCATAAAAACAGTTGTGTACTAGCTTGTACAGATCCATTGATTTGTTCTAACAATAGAATCTACATTTATTATTCTATGTAGTTACTATTATTGAATGATTGTTACTAATATTATTAGGTCACAATCATATAATTATTATATCTGTTTTCTAAATGTAAAAAAGCAAAGGAAATTAGCTTAGTCTTAAGTATTTTCCTGAGCGATAGAAGTGTCATTTTTTTTAGTTTTATTCTTCCTTTTTCAGCGAACTCTGGCTTGAACCTTGAATGGATGGGGCACTCGTGTTGTTCCAGTGATTCCTTCTGTGCTCAGCTTCACCCCATCAGGAACAGTGAAGGAGAACCTCTGAAGCAAAGCTACCAGAAACAGAAAAATTTCCATCCTGGCCAGTCCTTCTCCAAGACACACACGTTTACCTGGAAATTACACACACAAACAGGATCTAAAGTCTGGCAATAAACGTTTTGCAACATTTATTGCTGCTGCTCTGCACCAGTATAATCTCGACCTGAGTTTATTGACCAGTATTTCAAAAATACTCAGGCCTTTTTATACAGACCCAGATAACATTTGACAACAGGACACATTTTTGTCCCTTTGTCACTGTGCCACAGTTAATTTGTTTATTCTTGTGGAAATTTCCTGACCACACAGTTTTTAGTCACAGTACTGTTGAATGGACATTCATATTTTGTATTTGAAATAGAATTTTTTTTTTAAGAGAAATTAACTTTACGTATGAACTATACAAAGTTGTAGAAACTATGCAAAATACAATTACAAACTGAAAGGGTTTTGTACTGAATAAACAAAGGTACAAAAGAAAAAAGCACATTTTTTTACAGAACTACTGCACATCACCACTTATATCTTCTTATTAAAGTAAAACTGGTCTTATTTACCTTGCTAACTGTCAATTGAGGCTCAATTTTTCATTTTTTTTTCAAAACTAAGACTCCCAAGTGATACCTGCAGAAAAGGGCAGATGTGCTTCTTTCTTCACAAACTTCCCCTCAGCGTCCAGGAAGTGTCCAGGATTGAAGGTGTCTGGAGTCTCCCACTGACTCTTGTCAAACATCACAGAGGTCAGCAGGGGCATTATGGCGGTACCCTAGAAAACAAAACACCAAATAAGTTCTCATTCTCTTTACCATATACTGTACAGACTGCAAATACTACCTTTGGAATGAAGTAACCGCCCAGCGTTGTGTCTTTAGCCGCCATTCTGAGTGCATTCATGGGAACAATGTTTCCCATCCTCTGGATCTCATGAATGACAGCATCAGTGTAGGGCATGTTGGATCTGTCAGCCATACTAGGAAGACGACTCTGTCCAATCACTTTGTCTATCTCTTCTTGGACTTTTTCTGGAAAGTCAATGATTTAGTTTATTTAATTTATTATATCAATTAAAATATCTTTAAACTGTGTATCAGCCTTGGCCTGGCATTTAACATTTTAAATATTTTCAGAATCTCTGTTAAGCCTCAACCTTCAAACTGGCCATTACCTGGCATCTGTTAGACCATGTAGTCGTATTTGTTCTTTTTCATTATTTAACAACTTTTTAATTTCACCTACCCTGAACATCTGGGTGGTTGATCAGGTAAACCAAAGCCCACTGTAAAGTGGTAGAAGTGGTCTCGGTTCCAGCTAGGAACAAATCCAGAGAGCACAGAGTCAGATTTGTCTCATTGAAGCCAAGTTCAGGTTCTTTGTGCTGTTCAGGATGGTAAAACGGAATACAGCAGTAATGAGCAGGTTTACCAAAGCTAGCTACAGCCTCTGTGTTCCATGGAGTGTTAGCCTTTTTCTTACGTACCTTGTCCATTTCAATAAGGAAAGTATCAATGTAGTCCCGAGGATTGTTGTGGTCCAGGTCTTTCTTGTGCTTCTCTACCTCCTCATGGATGAAATCTTTGACCAGGTCAAAGTTTGTAAATAATTTGTTGTGAGGACCTGGTAAGTGCTTCATCACACTGGGGAATGACTCATAGAGCTGTAAAAGAAAAAATAAATATATATATATAATGTATATAATTCATGACTCTATAATAATGTGTCAAATTACCATACATTAACTGTGGGATATTATTTATTTATATTATGTACGACAGTTGTTATATTCATGTTTCGTTATGGTTATGTTAAAATCCTGTCCACAAGTGAACAAAGAACACATTGACATGAAATGTAAAATATAAAGTAGAGAGTCTATAAAAAGGTTCTTTCATTTTGGCAAACTGCCTAACACTACTATAGGCTGTTATATAGTAACTAGATGTGCAGTAAATAATATGAATCTTAACAACTAAGTAATAAAAAAAATAGAAAAAAGGATCAATCTCCAGAATAAGCCGCTTATATTTCATTGGGAGGTAACCATGTTTGGTCACCATTAATGATGTGATGATTACTCGATATAAAAATGCATTGCGGTATTTAGCGCTATGGTTAATTTATAGTTACGCTTCCTTAAATACCGTCAGAAAATAATATACCGGAACTATAGTTAAGTGCAATTCAAACGGAACGAAAACAGGTACACAACACCTGCATGTCGCCGCGTGTTTGTTTTAGGTCCGTGCAAGTCGCAAGAGGCGTGTCTGAGGCGAGGAAATGGCGGAGGAAGAGTCCGCCCACCCCCACCCCCAAGACCAAGCGCAATAAATCAGTTGTGTGGGATTATTTTGGCAACAGGAAAACCGACCTGGGTGTTTTATGGCATTTAAAACATGTCATAAAAGTCGCAAGGAAAGGAAGAAATGGATCCAATACGTTTCATCACCTGCGGGAAAACCACCCGGCATTGTTCGCCAAACTAAAGGTAAATACACATTAATTGGATTAAATTACGGCAATGTTTTCCTAACGTTACATTATACTGTTTGTTTGTAAACATAACGTGGGGTCTATCGCTTTTTTTTAAATTAAATTTTATCTTTGTATTGTCCGTTTCAGTGTCAACGTTCTTAAAGTGAACATTTCGCATTAGCTCCGGTTAGCTTTCTCTCATCATTGAGTAAACGTTGGGCTTGTTCTTTCAGCTCTACGGGATGTCCGTTCTATTTATTATCAATTTGTGTATGTCATTGTAAGTTTAACATGAAATAAACTAACCAAAATAATAGAAAAGCTTTGTATGTGGCAACAAAAAAATAGACAAATTAGTAATACGATTAAAATAAACGTAAACATCCGGTAGAGATCAGAATTGATTACTTAAATCATTTAAACCAGTGGTTCTCAAACTGTGGTACGCGAGCGTTCTCTAGTGGTACGCGGGAAAAAAAAAACATTTTCACATTTACATTTTCAATTGAATAAATCTGAAATATACCATGCTCAATTAATACAAATTTTAAACATAAACATCTCTCCTGTATGGTGGAAGCTAATTGGGTAGGTCTATGCTGCTATATTCTAATGTTGGTCATCATGGAGCTCCATGTTTTCTCAGGTGGTACAGAGTAGAAAAAATGTGAGAACCACTGATTTAAACAACTACCCTTGAGGATTAATGGTTGGCCCTATATAAATAGATACTTAAACATACCATGCAGATATTGGGCCATATAAGTAGTAATGTAATTGTACTGTATGTGATTTATTTTACAGAAAGGTCAAGGTCTTGCAGCCATGGTGATTAGCACTGGTTATATTTGCTTGATTACATTGTGGGATTACTGAAAATGTTCTTGAACTTTTAGGTTAATTGACTTTTTTGCTATTTCTTTTGTAATGTTGGCATTAACAGATAGAAATAAAGAAAACTATAAGACCTACAACTATAAGCTATAAGTCCTACTACCGTATTTTCCGCACTATAAGGCGCACCGTGTTATAAGGCGCACCTTCAATGAATGACATATTTTAAAACTTTTTCCATATATAAGGCGCACCGCATTATAAGGCGCTACAGTAGAGGCTGTAGTTACGTTATGCAACCATTAGATGGTGCCGTGCTAAAGGGAATGTCAACAAAACAGTCAGCTCATCCTCATGCTTCCTCCACTTCCGCACCATCGATTCATTAACGTTAAACTCTCTTGCTGCTGCTCTATTTCCGTGTTCTACTGCGTGACTGATCG